AATTAATATGAAGCCGGCGTTACCTGATGAGCTTCCGAAGTTTTTTAAGAAGGGTATATCAGGTAATTATTCAACAATATTATTCAAAACGAGGACTGCGAACGGATCCAGGGGCGAAACAACATATCTTTGGACGAACGTACCAACATTCGTGTCTTAGGGCAAGACCGGAAGCTTGGATTCTACTTCTGATTAAATAAGAAAATCTTGTAAGTGCAGTGGCACAAATCGACATTTCAACCATAATTATACACATCATGAACAAACTGTATATTGAATACAAAAACAAAAAAGACAATTATTTTGATATTTGCAAATGAGAAGCCGAAGATACCAAAGGCACATTAAAACTCGCAATTCGAAGAAAACTGACAAAAGTCAAAAATGAAAAGATAAAAAAAGACAACAATAGTAACTTATGATAAAAAAAAAACATGTCTTTACTCTCAATCATATCATTTTACACTTGGTTTTCGGTCTCATTGTTATATAAATGTCAATAAAATATTTGCATATCCCATATTTGTTTTGCAATATTCTCAATATTTTGTATTTAAATGTATTTTGTCTTTCCTAGTAGTGACCGATGCCCAGTACGTTCATTTGTTAATATATCCGCCGTCTCAATCCAAAGTGTGATAAAAATTTTCAATAGCCAAAATCAGCAGCTAAAGAGGGGATCTATTATGATAACATTCCGCTTGGACATAACAAGCTGGGCAACTACATGAATGAGATAAGTAAGGCAGCCAATCCGTCAAGAGCAAGAGAGCATACCAACCATTCTTGTAGGGACACAAACGTCAATATTTTGGATGAGGCATAAATTCCCAGTCACTTGGCATAAAGGCTTCCTAAAAGACATGCAGTGGTAAAACATGTGAAATAAAACAAAAAGAGTAATGTCAGAGACATTGAGTGAAAAAACACTATGCAAAACATCTAAAGTTACAAGACCAACCACTTTGTCGTCAAATATTGACTATTGTGTGTCTTTCACAAACAAGTGTGACTGTGGAAACTGAAGCAATATCAACTGCCTCATTTGGCTCTTTTAATTTACAGCCATTTTCAGACTCCCAAACTCAAAACCTAATTAATGATATCATTCCTGAATTTGCAGATGATGATCATGATGATGGTATGGATGATTTATTGAAATCCCTTGAAATTCCAAGATGTATACCAAACCAGTCAAAATCAATTGATGCTGCTAGTATAAACAAGAAAGCCATGCCAGTTCCAGTATTCAATAACTGTTCAAATATTACTATTTATTACAACTTTTTTTCAAAAGAATTAAATGAAAAACTAAGTGTTTCAGAAATTTATTCAATGTTAAATTGTTTAGTCTACCTTGAACATTAATTAAATGTTTCATTTCTTTTTTAATTGTTGTTGGCAATACAAATACTATTGATGAAATACCTATTAAATTTCATGATATTATTAATGTTGGAATAAATAAATTGAATAATCATCATATATTTCCTTCAACATGGCCAAATTAATTATTACATCTTATAAGAATCTTCAAATACATTAAAATAATGTAAATGTGTACCAAAAAAATGATATAATTTATTCAGAAAAGAACAGATTTGGTGTACAAGTCAAATAGACAATAACTATACTACCTTCAAGATAAAATCATCAAAAATGCAGAATCTTATGCACTGACAATATCTGTGGATTAAAAATAGAACAATTGTAGCCTTTGTATGAGGTCGATACAGGATTTATCGACCGAAAGAAGTATATCCTTGCATCGACCTCATACAAAGGCTATAATTGTATAATATTTCTAAAGGTATGTTCGAATAACTAAAAGACTTTTCTATTTGTATAATGCTTTTTGTAAGAGAGAAACCGGTACAGTTTGGTCTTTGTAAAAATATTATGAATCAATTAGTAGCAAAAAATTGAATTGAAAATTAATAGATAAATTACAAATCAAAATAAGAAACAAATTAACAAACAAAAAAACATTATTTTTCACAAGGTTATACATTTTTTCAACTAATTGACATTCTTTATTACACACCACACCATCCATAGATGTTATGTGCAAAAAAGTAAATGTTTAGTCCATTTTACCGAAATTTGATAATCGCTTTCAAAATTTTACTATATGCCTGAACAGATCATGTGAATGCCGCTTTCCTGATTAATTGTATTTTTGTTTGTGGGCGATACATAATTGGTGTTAGCAGTCCTCACTAATTAAGAAAAAAAGGTAAAAAGATAATTAATATCAATTTAGAAATAAGGACAAAAAAAATACGGCAGTGAGATAACGACATATTGTTTCGATAAAGAATAGAGAATGAATAGGAGGAATGTGTCAGAGAGACAATAACCCTACAGAAGAGCAGAAAAAAGCTAACGGCCACCAATTGGTCTTCAACGCAGCGTGAAAATTCCGCACCCAGAGGCGGGCTTCACCTTGACATAACAATAATGTATACTGGTTCAGCGAATGGACGCCACAATAAACTCCGAAATTTACAAATGAACCAAAATTTTACCAAAACCACACAAGACTAACAAAGGCTAGAGGTTCCTGACTTGGGACAGGGGCAAAAATGCGGGCGGGGTTAAACACGTTTTGTGAGTTCTCATCCAATCCCTATACCTCTAGCCATTGTGGAATAAACAAACACACAGTATGTCCCCCTCCAAAATTTTTGTTAACTGACATTTAAAATTGCACATACTCCTAACAAATTAGTGGTCGGTGCATAATCTTGAATTCAGGAATACTGTTCTTCAACCAAGCATGGGTTTTTATCAAGACAAATTCTAGAAAATGAGGGTTCAGAAAAAAAGCTTTACGGCTAAATGTATGATTGTTACTTGTACATGTTGTAAACTGTTCATTACTTTGCAAGACCATTCCTGCAGCATCTGCATACGAAGTATATATCTCTAAGTTGATAAAATACTTGATAGCTTGTTTTCCGAATCATGATTTCCTTGATAGAAGGGTTTCGCTTTCAAGAAAGTTATTGCACGACGGGTTCCGAGTGGTAAAGTTGAAGTCATCCCTTTGAAATTTTCACAGACGCCATAACGAGTTTGTTGACCGTTATGCAATGTCTGAGTCACAGATGAACACACATATTTTCCGTAAATAATTGTCGTTATCACAAATCCATCCTCTTTTCCTTGATTGTGAAATCGTGGAGAAAGACTTGTGATCGGATTTATACTTGCATGAGCATTACAACAGAAACCAAATTTAAAATTAGAACTGCTTTCTCTTTGGGAGCACCTGAGTGCATCTCTGTTTTCAGTTGGGTTCGTGTTGCTCAGTGTTTAGTTTCCTATGAAGTGTTTTGTATATTTGATTATATTTTCTTCCTTTTTTCCTCGGGTTGTCAGTTTTACATCTAAAGAGTTTTCCATTTGAATCTCCGAAAAGCTGTACATATGTAAGTAACTGTTTGTTTAAAAACTTTCCGCTGAAAATTTGTTCTATTATCATTCGATAACAGATGTTTTTGTGGTTGCCCGATACTCGTCAACCAGTTTTTGGTTTATGTCATTACGTTAAGCGATTCACAAAATGTATCACTGTACTTTTACTGTTCATGAGCAACACGTCGGGTGCTTCTAGTTGATCAATCATATGTTGCCCTTTCGCAACACCTTTGTTCCATTCTAGGTTTCGTTTAGTGGGGTTCAAGATATTTTTGTAAGGTTTTATTTTCCTACATGTATGTGTGTGTTAAATTTTTTTCAAAATTCGAATCAACACTTTATAAATTTGAATCATAGGAAGAGCTTTTCTTGGTATACGTTTATCAGGTTTATCTTGAAATTGTCGTATGTTTTCTATGTCATGAACATTTCGTATTGTCATTTCGTATCGTCATTTCGTATCGTCATTTCACTTTCGGTCGTGGAAACTTTAAATGTACCGATTGTTTATGAATATGGTAATATCTTATGGTTAGACAAATGACAAATCTACAAAACTTTTATTGCAGGAAAGCTTTTTTCCGACGTCGACGTATCAAATAGTTTGAAAATCACTATGACTGACACTAGCAACAAAATGACTGTTATCGCTTTTGATTTTTGATAAGGCTCGTTTTGCTAAATCTTAAGTTGTCAGTGTGGTGATTTACAAAATTGAATTTGCTCTTTCAAATATTTTGTCTGAAATTTAGTCAATAAATGTTATATCTGGAAATTTACAATTGGGAACGTTATGTTTGTAAAAAGCCTAATTGGCCGAGTGGTTTAACCAAGCATGTGTTCAAATTCTGGTGATAGAGAGTCAAAAACCTGCTATCAAAAATATGCCTAAATGAAATTTTAAAGCATATTTTAAGACTTAATATTAAAGAAAGAATATTTCATTTGTAATTTTAACCATGTGAATCCCTCAGTTGTCAAATATAAGTCTCATTGCCAATCATACCACATATTCTTGTTTTATATATAAGATAAAAATATAGTTATGTGACTAAATGATGAGTATTATAAACCCATAATGGCTGATACAAAATTCTGATCTGCAAGGTATGCCATCTAGGAGGACATGCAACCATACATCATGTATTATGATATAACCCTGGATAAAACCGACGAAACATCATCGGACTAACAAAAACTATATGTAGCATAGTTGGCCTAGTGGTTTAGTGTTTTGTAGACAGCAAATGTCACGATGTTACAAGATCTTATAAGATGAATAGTTCAAGTCACAGAGAGCGAGTCCAAAAATTTGCTGCCGAAAATTTGCATGCATCTAAAATCGTTGGGCTAAATTTCAGATGAAGTTAATATACTTGATGATGTAAACCTGTATATTCAATGGTTATCCGATGGCAAATACGTGTCGCACAGTTGTCGCAAAAAGCTTTTTATATATCTGTATATGATTACACAAATACGCGTTAACTATGACAGACGGTTTAAATTTTGTCGAAAATCATATCTTATAAAATTCTCAAAACAATAGCCCAGACAAAATTATAATGTAAAATGTGTTGTTTTTTTTGTTTTTTTTTAATTCTAATAAATTTTATTTTAATTATCAGTCTCACTTGGTGCTGACAGTCTCATTTGGTGCTGAAAAAGAAATATTAAATAAGTAATATCAAGAAAAAAACATTGTTCTTCTAGATTATAGGGCTCTATAATTGTTGCTTAAGGTCCAATTAAATCGAATAAATAATAAATATAACAGTATCAACTTTAAACAAAGAAGTTCTCATTGAATTTAAGTTTGCTTAAATCTGGAAAAAAGTTCTTAAACATGCATAGCGCCAGGCATAATCGTCATAAAGAGTCATCACCTCAGAGGAACCCCTTGTTTCAAAATTTCAAACCCTTTGTTCGTGTACTCCTCATAATACATCTAGTTTTCGTTCGAAACAAATCTTAAATATTAATGTCATTAAATACTTATGTATTTGGAATGTTATATTCCTTTCGGTAAACACAAGAATTTGTGTTGATTTTCTGCTATACTTGTTTCTTTGTAAGGAAGATTTATGATAAAACCCATGATTATGTTCCTTGTATGGTTCTGTTTAACCCCGCCGCATTTGTGTGCCTGTCCCAAGTCAGGAGCCCCTGGCCTTTGTTAGTCTTGTATGCTTTTTTTTAATTTTAGTTCATTAATGTGTTTTGGAGTTTAGTGTGACGTCCATTTTCACTGAAATAGTACAATTTTTGTTGAAGGGGCCAGCTGAAGCCCGCCTCCGGGTGCGGGATTTTCTCGCTATGTTGAAGACCCATTAGTTGCCTTGGGCAGTTTTTTGTTCTTTGGTCGGGTTGTTGTCTCTTTGACACATTCCCCACTTCCATTCTCAGTTTTAATAACAAATAATAGCTCATTCTGTCAAAATGATTTGAATTGAAGTGATAAATGAGAAAACAGTCTGTTGAATCTAGTTTACTTACCCTTCCGGAGCACCTGAGAACCCCTAGTTTTTGGTGAGGTTCGTGTTGCTCAGTTTTTGGTTTTTTTTCTACGTTGTGTTTTGTGTACTGTTGTTTTTATGTTGTTAATTGTTTTGTTTTTCTTTTTAGCCATGGCGTTATCAGTTTATTTTCGACTTATGAGTTTGAATGTCGCTTTTGGTATCTTTCGCCTCTCTTTTAAAAAAAACAAATTTTACTAGCATTAACCATGTTTACATTATTAACGTACCATTATTAAGCATTTGACATTAATGATAATTTCACAGTATTCCAGCATTGAATATGAGCAGCAAAAACAGAAGAAAAAAAATCAAAACAAACCAAAACATGGACGTCTTTGTATACGACATTTTGACGCGAATTATATTTTTAGTCGTTTTTTTTTTTAAATAAATTATATTAAAGAGAAACTTCATCGAATGAGACATTTTCTACAGGTTTCACAGTTTGGATTTCGTTTCTTACAAAAAGTTGATGGACATTAGAGAAAATCAGAATATAAAAAAACCTGATACCCGACATATTCAGTAAATTGTATTATCTGGAGGATACTATAAATATTGAATCATTCCAATTGTGAAACTCAAGGGTTCCAAAAAGTGGCAACATCTAACCGATTCTGACTAATATATACATTAGATTGATCTTACCTTCCGATGTGAGTTGATATTGACCAAATATTTGTTTTAGGCGTGCACCTTAATTTTTAATTTTGATTTCTGTTTGAGACTTTTCGATATCTGAAATCGATGATTTGTCCATACATGTATCCTTTACCACAATTCTAAAAATATTAACTCTGTAAAATTCATATCTACCTTTGTCTGATACATGTTAAGGTGTTATACATGGACATGAACCACGGCAACCATAATCTTGACGACTGTAATAAAAAGTATAAAATGTCCCTTTAACGTCTGTCATGGACTATTTTCAGGAAGATCATTCAATTCTTAAAAGTAACAGGTACTTAGCTGATCAATCTTACGGCTTTTCCTTAAATTTACGAGCAAAAAGAGCAAGTAAAACTGCATATATATATATATATATACATATATATATATATATGTATATAGCAAAAATGTTAACAGTATTTTCCGAAGTAAAGGAAATTCGGTGTCCTTCAGATAGTAGTACAAATGTAGAGGATGCATGTAAATATCGGAAAAGCCATTTTATAGTATGATTTTCTTAAAAAGTTCTTGATATTGCAACTAAATTTTCCGTTTTATTAATTTAACTTAACTTTTACAAGTATTTATACGTGTCATCGAATTCGTTTATGATGTGAAACATATTTAAATGAATTTATGATTCCAAAAACATTCAGAAATGAGACATTTCAATGCACACTGTATATACAAAGCCATGTTAACACTTGCCTTTTAGGCGCTTATTCAAAGTGTGCGGAAAAATATCTGTTTTAAAACATAATCTGCTTCGATAATCACCTTCCAATATTTATTTGTAAACCGGAACAATCTTTATTAAAAATTTGTTGGACAGGTTTTTAAGAAATGATTTTTCTACATATATTTAAAAATGTGTTTTTCTGTTTACAGGATTTCTATTTGCTAATCTCGGGAAATAAAATGTCATATTTAGTTCCTCGGGCTAAAATAGCATGCAAAATATCAACTTCGTACTTTATTTGTCTTTTCTAACTTTTTTTTTCTGGCGTCGCTGACGAGTCTTTTGTTGTCTGCCGTACAAAGTGTTAATCATATTATCTATAATGAGCTTTTTATATCTAGCTAAACCTCACACTTGTATGACAGCTGTTTATAGTTATATTGACATAATTGGTTAATGTTGCAATAAATGGGATCCAGCATCTAAAACTGTTTTAAAAGTGTGGTATCTATAATTTGTTCATTGGTTATACTTTTTGTTCACTACGATCATGTCAGCTCCTCAACATTTGTATTTGGTTTGGATTTCAAACAATTGTGTGAGTATCATTAAAGAGCCATTATTTCTTTAAATGCGCTTCAAGTGCAGTAAAAATTATCCCGTGTTATGATATTGTAATTGCTGATTCGAGATACCTCTGCTGTTTATATGTGATACCCGGAGCGTATCACTATTCCGGTAGTTTATTGCTGCGATACTTGTAAGTAAATACGGATATTGATTAATGAAATATGCAGTGGTGAAACTACTGAAATTATTTGAATTATTGAATGTATCCATTATTAATAGCTCTGATGCATCGTCTGTGTTTGGCTTTACATTTATTACTTTGGATTTAAAAAAAAGTATCTAGGATAGTTCTCTTACACATCCAATTCATTGTTTGATATTCATAAGTTGGGTTTTAAATTTGCCAGTTCACCATATCGCTTTGCATATTCTTTTAGCCTATAAATAACAGTTTAAGGGAGACAGTATCAATGAAATTTTACTTTAATTTAATGTAAATATATAAGATTTGATTCAAACATAATGAATCAATTGTTCGTTTTGTAGAATATACTTACTAGCATCGCATTAAACATTCATTTTCAAAAGTTACACCATAGCTTGAACAAACTGGTTCATATCTCCGATTACAAGGACAATTAGGACATTGAGAAATCACATTATCTAAAAATGAAAACTATAACTATTAGAATTCTCCTAAAAATCACAAAGGTTTTTCCTCTCCAGTAAATAATTGAGCATTTCAATTTGAACATGAACAGTTACATTTGGTTAACATATGTCAAATTAGAGTTATTTGTTACAAGGCTTTTAGTCTATCACCACTAAAAAGAATTTTAATCATCTCGGAACTAAATAAAAAAAGGTTCCAGTAAGATGGACATATCTTTGTCAACCTGTAGGCTGTTAAGAGGCATTTTTACGTTCAATGAAGGTTGAACTATTGCAAATTAAGTTTACATTGCAAAAATATATCTAATAAAACTCAGATTGCAACGTTTTCTTCGGACAGAAAAATTCCCCATTGAATCAATTGATTTAGTATTTACGTATTCGAAAGATAAACAACCTTATCTCACTTGTATAAATAAGTAGGCCATAACTAATCTTAAAGGCATATATTTTAGAATCATTGTCACAGATGTTAATAATAGAGATATTTCGGATAAAAATACTTATTTCGATGTACCTCGTCTATTTCATATGTGCAGTTAGGATCGTCTGAGTCTTGGTTAGTTGAGCACAAATAAACGGACTCAAACATTTTCAAAAGACGAAAATATTTAGATTATAGTCTTTTCGTTATACTTAATTTGCTTTATTGTGAGAATAATATAATATTTCTAGATTTGTTAATACCACACTGTCTTTATAGTATGTAGTTTACTGATCAGTTTGGAATTTGTTCACTTGATTTGTAATAAGTGTTTAATATAAGACAAAAGGTTGTCATATAATTGAATCGATAAAAACTATACTTGGTATATTTGAGAGAAAATAAAACATGTTTGCTATAAACTTAAACAGAATATTAGATAACTACATAATAAATGGATGGTACAAGCTGATGAAGGGTACAATAAAATGCCTTCCTTGAATTCTGAGACTCCTGATCAAGTATCAATATTTTGTTAACGAAATACTATCTTGATAGTTCAGTGTTATTACGTGCACTATTTGTTAGGAATATAACCATTCATAAATTTGCTGCGTTTTGTTAAAGTTAAACATATCTACATGTCACACTATTTATAAATCTTGAAAATAACAAAAGAAATATCAGAATATTTGGAGGAACACATTCTGAACTAAAATTGCAAAAGGCTGCGAGAATTAACTTCTTGAAATTTCGAACAAAATGACTTGAAACATATGTTGTGCATAATGATCATTTGTTTTGTTTTATCAACTACTGTGTTGTTACTGCTGCTTTTCCTGTCTCCAAGTGTGCTATTCGTCAGAAAGTCCGTCCTTCCAGATTTTCATGCTATAAATAATACTAATTGTGTGTGACGTTCTAGTTAATTGCATAATGTTCTGTAACCAACGTTGCTCGTCCTTTATACAAAGTTCATAGACTGACAAACTAGACCTTAAAATTGTTAATTGAACACGATACTGGTGCAAGAACTGAATCTAGCATGAAGTTACTCATTAGTTAATACCTGTGGCTATGACAAGAAATACCAGCATCATCAATACGAACTTCATTTTATCTTTCTATGGCCACTTCAGTACAACTGAACTTCCTACAATAGTGTAAAATAGTGTAAAATATAATGCTTAAAGCCATATATGACAAGTAAAGTAAATATAAATGATGCTGCTGATAATGATGTTTATCCGATTGTGAAAATCCTAAATAGGCTTTAGCGTTTCAACACATGTATGCCTGTTTAATCTTTGGAAGTATTTTGTTAGAAAATTTAGAATGTGTTTTTACAAACTTGGGAAACAAGAAGAAAAGCGATGCGAGTACAATTAAAGTTTATAGTTTTTATACATACATATATCGTTTTAATCCTATAATCTACATATTATGGTCTAAAATTGCGGTTTTCATTTCGCAGCTTTAGTCGTTTGATATATTTGATAGAACAAACACTGTTTGAATATGAATGACGAAAAGAGAAATAAGATGTAAACAATTTGTTTTTAATTTTATTTCAGGAGCCACGATTCAAAATTTGTGTATCGCAAATATTGCAAACTTGAATTATACACCTTTATACATTACCGATCGCATGGTACCTCAAAGATTAAAGGATAAACATATGGTTCTGGTCTAGATTACAATCTATTCGATTTATTAATGTTGATGGGATACCGTATTTCGTGAAATTCATGGGTATAGGTAAGGCACAAATTTCACTGCTCAGCTAAGTACACGAAATCAAGTATCCACAAATATGATTTTTTTCTCTATCCAAGAAAACTGATACCCACGAAAATGAATAATAATAATTATTAATAATAGAATAATATTAAATATTGAAAATCGTTATATTGACTAAAAATACGATAACTAATGCCAAAATGCGGACAAAATAAAATGATATAAATAATATTAGAGGTTGCAGCACAACTTCTCGGTTTACTTAATTTTAAAGCACTTAACGATTCCTTTATTTCATACAATTAAAGTCATATAACAAGATTCAAATTGACAAATAGCAAAACGTTTGATTTGCGTTATTAATTATGTAGTAGAGATATATTTAAACTTCAAAGATAAAAGATAAACGTGTTTAAATTTCCCAAGACTGCGCTTGAAATTTATTGATCTAATTATATTGTTTAAGCTTATTTTCAAAGCATTTCACATGTTTTTATAACTTTGTTTTCTTGATTGAAATTAAAATAAATTCTTTCGTAGGTTTATTTGTTTCGAAATGAGTTTTAAAAATACACAATTAAAAAAAAATAGAAATAAAAGAAAACCAACTACAGCCATAACAACAGAAATAGAAATATTCATCAATTTTAACGCCAATAACAAAATGTATGTACCGTCTTTTGATATCAAATAACTATCTAATCACACTGTTAAGTTAATTGTTAATTTGTTCTCGTCCTGAAGATGCACAATATAATTGGTACTTGTCATTTGACAGACAGTTATCAAGTAATCTAGCAAAATAGAACCTCGCTCTTTTTCTCCTTAAACATGTTAAAGCTTGAAATGAAACCCGTTAATTTACATCCGAAGAAAAAAAAGTTTTATCGTTTAAGGAATGTATATATCACCCTCATTTTCAAATATTTCAAATTTTAAACGTGTCCAGGACATCAAATGATAATTTTTAACGAAAATCATAGCTGAAGGCGTTGTTTAAAAAAAAAACTGCCCGACGTCGTACCAAGCAAACAGTAGTTAGCAGTCATGTTATCATATTGCAATGTTAAATCATATAGACAGGTGGCATCTTTTATAAGAAACCTAAATAACTTATTGTGATATGAATAATAGAAACTTAAATAACTTATTGTGACATGAATAATGTTTTGTATATATTATTAACTGTTTATTGTATTATTATTTAAGTTTATTATTTTATATTTACCTCATGTTACACATATATGTGTTTGAGCGTTACTTTATAATAAAATCTTGAAATTTTGAAAGACTTTTTACTTTCGTTTACAACCTTGATGTTTATTCAATCAGACAGGTTAATTATACTATAGATGTTTTTAAAATATTCTTCAATATAAGCTTTGTTTTGCCTACACGCAGCATTGATATCTATTTAAAATAAAACCGCTTCAGTATAAAGAAATTAAAAAATAATCGACTTTAACACGCCAAAACAGGAACGTATAGTTTCTTAATACTCTAATGAAGTGGAATGAACAGGGAATAAACAGATGACTACTTATCGATATTATGTATACAACGTTTAACAATTATACTTTACTTTACTTTCATCACACGTATTACCAAGTGTATGAGCTCTCTAAAATTCTGTTCGTGTGCTATGGATTCGCCGTCATTAACTTCTATTAACTATTAATCATAGATACAGACTTACCTTCAACGATTTACGATGAAATCAACTGATCAACAAAACAACATCACCTTATATATATATAACAAATGTACGATGATAAATCAAGGATAACATATTGCCTAAGAAACTTTTTTAACTTTTTGTTTGCAAAAAAGAAACATGTCATGGATTCAAGGTGATATTTTATCAAGAATTCGTGGAAACTTGCTTGTATACCTTGTTTACGATTCCGGGAATTGTCAATGTTTTTTTTTTATAGCAATAACGAGATAATCGAGTTGAAAGCTTCGAATTTAGGGTATATATGCGAGAGGCATCTGAAATAATAATATTAATAACAATACTAATAATAACAATTAGAGAATTATATATATAATGATAATGATAATGGTTATAATTATAATACTTACAATAGCAATAATTATGGAATAACTAATCGAAACGAAGAATTCTAACATTTTGTACGAGTGACCGAACAATACCCTAATTCACAAATACGCGTAGTGCATGTGTTGTTTGGTCACGAGATGAATATTTTTCTATTACTTATTCTTTTTATTACATTGATCATGGGAATTTTGATGGAAATAAAGTAAAATAAACAACTAACTATATTCTTTTTAACGCATTTTTAATTAGTTTTGATGTAACGTCATCGACAATTTCTTGACAACAGCAATTGTTGCATGACGTCAGGGCATTTATTTGATATCTGAAATTATCGGTTTTTATTTAACTAGGAAATCACGGTATTCCGTTGCTACCATTGTGATAATAATAGATAAATAAATGAATAACTGAAGCACGGTCAGGGACTGTTATGACTGACCTCTAAACATAATACTTTGCGGACTCCGGTAGAGTTATTGAATGTTTCTATTTATCATTTTAGTACTCAGTTCAATGTAAAGATAGTCTTGAACGAATTTTAAAAACTTACTCATGACGTTTTATTAAACGGAACTTTTGACTTGTTCTTCAATGTTGAATTTCTTTTTGCTACTCAATATGAATTAGCTGCATATATTTGAATATCAAGCAGCAATTCACACATTGAAACAAACTAATCTTCCTGCAAAATTGTTTTATTCCGCTAGTTTACATGTTCCTGCCTGTAAAGTGAATGCAAATAATAATGTCGTTTGCTATTTGCTTCTGCAACTATACAATTCTTGTTTTCACATTGATTCTTAAGTTGTGCTCAGCTTGACAGTGCAGGTTTTTCGTTGTGTGTTTGACTTAACTAAATATGGTCTAGATTATCAAACCGGGAGTTTTGTGCGCACGTAACACTCGTTTAATCCCATGTGTGAAACTACAATACGTTGTTAGGAAGTTTCCATGGGAAATAATAAATCGTTCTTTCGAAAAGTCTTCTATATTCAAAAGAATAATGATTTTAGGTTATCTCCCATGGAAACTTATAAACAACGTATTGTAATTTCACATATATTTTACTGAATATAAAATGTTTTAATTTAAATGATGTCTAATTCTTATGAATATAGAAGACTTTGCAAAAGACAAATTGTATAAAAAGCTTAGTTTGAACATTTTTATAGCAATTCAAAATTACTACTTATCACCATTAGCATCACAAGTATGAGTTTGACTGTCCCTCTGGTATCTTTCGTCCCTCTTTTACAATAAAATTTGTATAAAAATTGTTAGACTGATGTTTCATAATATCAGTAAAGTGAAATTAAATTCTTGTAGGATTGTAAGTACGCTTTACTTTATCACCTTGCACTTTCACAACTTGACTGTGGTTTTCTACAGCATTTTATATGAATTTCTCACCAGTTGAACAAATTGCAATTTGGTCAACATTTGGATCAATTGAAATAGGTGGAGAGCAACACTAACAGTCAGGTCACAGTAATAGCAACAATTTTTCAAGGAAATACAAGCCCTGGAATGTCGTATCAACTGGGAAATATATACTCCGTATGCAGGCGCTGCTGGAATGTTGCTACATAGAAATGAAAAGTTCACAATGGGGACGCTGACATCATCTCTTTTGTCGTAAAGGTTCGTTTTCAACTGACCTTCATTGTCGATTTCTAGATGTAGGTCAAGATATAAGGCAGACTTAACTGTATCTGTTGTATCCTTTTTCTAAAGTTCGATTGGATAGATGCGTTTAACAAATATTGAACTATTTAGTGAGAGAACATTATTTATATAGCGGAAAGTGAAGTTAAAGGATTCTTGTAAGAAACCAGCCTCATATGAACAAAGGAACAAGTCGGCAAGAAGAGGAGCACAGTTGAATTCCATGGGAATGTTGATTGTTTGTTAAAAAACACGTCATCCAAAAAAAAACAAATATCTTGTCAATCAAGAAATCACGCTTCTAGATGATATTTCAGATTTTTTTTTTTTTTTTTTTGTTTGAATCAGTGTGAAGGATACCAGTTTCTACGTTGGCAATTTTTTTTTATAAAACAAAGCAGGACCAACTCTTTCAATTTGTCTTTTAGTTTGGAATGAGGAATATTTGTGTAAAGTGTAGAAAAGTCAAATGTTTTAATATTATTGCAAGATGAAAGATTCTTAGATTGTATGTATTCTAAAAGATCTTTGGATTTTTTTAGTGTGCACATCTGATTGCCTTTGATTGCTTATATAATTGATGTTAATAATTCAGAAAGAGGTTTCACGGAGCACTTGGAAGATCCAGCAATAACGTTGTTTGTAAGGACATTCATGTAATTTGTTATTCAATACAGTGAAGGAAGATCCAGTTCTTTATCTTTGGCTGAAGTTCCAAAAGAACATACATGTAAAACAGACCTATGATTAATCCGGATTTCCTCCTTGCTTAGTGTCGTGAGGGTATACGTTGAGTTTCTTAGTAAATTGTCAATACCTATTTCAGTTATCGAGTAGTTTATGCAATATGATTTACATACAAAAACGATGTTTTATGGAGCTGTATCCACGGGGACAACATATTTGCCATGGAGGTAGGACAAGTGTTTTGCAACATTTGGGTCTTTAAAGACCGATATAACAAGTGCATCCATAGACCCATTCAGTATTTTTATTCTGATTTTTATCAACGACCTCACAGCCTTAATCCATTCGGATGACTTAATCCTTGACTGAATCCATCACAAATTATACCTTTGTATAAATGGCAGCAGTTCATTAAAAGATACATCACGGAGAGTAGGTAATATATAATGACGATGACCATGACTGCGTCTATGTCGAGGAATAGAGTTAAAAATGTTCATCACATTCACCGAGCTACATGAAGGACAAAGAAGAATACCTATACCATCAATTTTGTCATGGCAACCATCTGGTGCCGCATTTCAAAATCGACAAATCCAGTAGTCTTCCTTTAGTCTACGGAGAGGTGTTGCAAGATAAAGATTGTTAGTCCTTTGGTATATTTCTTTTCGATGATGCGAACTTGCATAGAAAGGACTGAATGATCAGGCTAATTAAAATGCCGGTACACAATGTCGCTCGGATTGGTGTTGATGTCTGACCTTTGGCCACACATATGTTTATTAAGCCTTCCTTTCGTTTCATCAACATATACCTATCTGCAAAGGTTACACTATAATCTGTAGACGAGATTTGTTGATTTACGATTCAGATCATCGTAGCTTCTGATAAAGTAAGATTTTAGTTAAATTGCTAGTGAATTGAGAATTTGTTATTAAAATTTTACAGGTTTTTCAGTTTTTGGTTTTACATTTTGAAATGAGACACTGTTGTGCTGAGTCATTAAAGTCTATAAGTCTCATAGAAAAACTGAACACGATTGCGTACGAAGATTATTACTATAATTGTCATTAGTATGATGATCGGAATGTGTCCTATTTAAGATATAACAAAGTAGTTGTTGGCCATCATTTTGTTATCCAATAAGCTAATTGTATTAACATAAATGAAACGTGACAACATAGGGTGTTTAAACATATATCACAGACATATAACTCAACCGATTACAACATTCAAACAAACATACAAATATAGCCAACAAAGACGCCAACAAAAACAGTATTGCAGTTGAAAGCAAATATGACAAAGATGCCAACAAAAGCGTTTTGTAGTTGAAAGTATATAGTCAATACAAACTTATACCGTACTAGTATACACTTTCCCGATAAAGAACAAATTAAGTAAAATATGAAATCAAGGGTAAACAATATGAAAACAACACTTGTAAAAACCTATCGCGTTCAAATCGTACGTCTGGACCCACCTGGAACCTAAAGCCAAAAAATCGATAGATAGGATTCACAAATACCGAGTCACGTCAAGGTTCATACGCATAAAAGTAACGTAAAACCACAAAAAAGTGACAATTGTAAAGTAAAAAATATATATACACCTCTTCAGCACCTAAAATCTATACCTTAAGACCAGCTAGTATTATTTGTGAAGTAGACTCTGAAAATTTATCCAGGTCTTGGTACTTTCTAATGTACTAAATGATAGAATTTATTCTTAATCCTAACATTAATGTCAATTATTGCTTTTGTTTTGCAAGAACAGAAGGATTTTTTTCCAACATATCAATCATTTGTTCTTTTTGTCCGTTAATTCGAAAGCATTTCTCCTTTCTCTTCAAAAATTTTACGGAAGCCATCACGAGCTCGTTGTCCATTACGGAATATCTGTTTTTCAGATGACGACTGATATGTTCCAACTAGAATCCCCTCCTTCTTATCCCCGCATGTAACCTACCGAATTAGACTTATCATCGGGTTTGTGCTTACGTTAGTAACTTGATGGGTGGCTTATGTGAAGCAGGATCTGCTTACCCTTCCGGAGCACCTGATATCAGTCCAGGTTCGTGTTGCTCAGCCTATAGTTTTCAACGTTGTGTTTTGTATACTGTTGTTTGTCTTTTGGTCTTTTTCTTTTTTTGCCAAGGCGTTGTCAGTTATTCTCGATTTATGAGTATGAATGTCTATTTGATATATTTCGCCTCTCCTTTGAACTGATCAAAAATATATAACAAAAGTTATTGTACTGATGGTGGACATACAGTTTAATTTTGAGATTGATAATCCGTTTTTAATTCTGTTGAACAGAACATCCTAAGTAAAAGT